CTGAACTGTCCATCAATGTTTCTAGCGGTCAGATCATTACTGCTATTTGCATGCTGACTGTCATCATCAGATATACTTGACTGGGGAGTCTCATCAACGACATTGGATCATCCAGCGCAAATCTCACTTTTCTGGGCGTTCCCAGCATCTCTCGCAAATGGTGTCTGTTTCGTCTTAACACCTTGCCATTTGGGGTTTCCACCAAAAAGGATCTGGGCTCAATACACTTAGCTGATATCCTACCAGGTACCCATCTTCCGCTGTCTTGATCTTGAGTCAAAACTCTCTGACCTATATTCAAAGCAGGTAAGACTTTCACCCCTTTTCTGTCGTGATAATATTTCTGCGACTGTTGTCTGTCCTGAAGTCTATTCATGATTGTATCCTTCTGTGGTAGATTATTTGCAATTAATACAGGTAAGTTACCTTGCAACTTACGACCATTCAGAAGTTCGCCTGGTGATGGAATGGTACTGTCAATCGGGGTTGTTCTGAGACTCAGCAATGCTAGATCTGGATCAGTTCTAGACTGCTTTGCTTTGGTAAGACACTGCTCTCTCTACGAATCCATTACTTTGTGGATACCGCGGACTAGAAGTCACATGATCGAAACACCACTTATCAGCGAAACGTCTAAATTCTTCACAGTCAAACTGTCTACCGTTATCACTGATAACTTTGTTGGGTATCCCCTGTTCGCTAAACAGTTTCTTGCAGTGATCTATGACAGCCCTACTTGTACACTGTCCATGAATTCTGCGTACAAAGAATGATTTGGAGTAGTAGTCAGTTATCAAAAGATTTTCACATCCATCGAAGTGAAACAAATCCATTGCTACTGTGTGCCATGGTCTCTGTGGAATATCATGGGGTTGCAATGTTTCATGTGATTGGGACTTTTGGTTTTCTTGACAAATATTACAATTTGCCAATAGTTCTTCAATCTCCTTGTTGATACCTGGCCAGTATATGCACGATTTAGCACAAGTTGGCATTTTGTAACACCTTGATGTCCAATGTGAAGTTGTTGAAGCGCCTCACGCCTCATCGCAGGTGGTATCATTATCCTGTCGCCTTTCAGTAACAGCCCATCCTCCACAGACAGTTCATGACGACAAGACCAAAATGGGCGAACGATTTTTCGCACTTGCTTTGGATCTTCTGGCCACCCTGATACAGTAATGTTCTTTAATGCACTGAATGTCTCATCATTTTCAGTTTCCTTGCGGATCATCTGAAGCTTTTCACTTGAGAACTGAACTTGGTGAATGGTTTTGTCGATACTGATAGTTGGACTTGGAGCTGGGTTTTGCCTAGACAGCATGTCTGAAAGAATCATTTCCTTCCCAGGTTTGTATCTAATCTCGAAGTCGTATTGCTGAAGTTGTAGCATCATTCTCTGGAGTCAAGGAGGAGTGCTGTTAGATTCTTGTGCTGAATGTTCTCTAGAGGTTTATGATCCGATTCAACTGTGAAGTGACTGCCAAACACATATGTATGAAACCTCTTGCATCCAAACACCACTGCAAGGAGTTCACGCTCGATATTAGCATATCGCTTTTCTGTGTCTGTGAGTGCCTTACTGGCATAAGCAACTGGATATCTGTCCTGCATGATCACAGCACCTTCACCTTTCATTGATGCATCAACTTGCACGACTGTTGGCTTCCTTGGATCAAAGTATTTCAGAGTACCATCAAGACAGATCATAGTCTTCAGCTTGTCAAATGCTGCTTGATGTGATTCTGTCCATTGCCAAACACTGTCCTTGTGGGTCAGCATCCTTAATGGTTCCGTGAAGTCAGCCAATTTGGGTATGAATGATGACATATACTGTATCATCCCCAGGAACCGCTGCAGTTCAACAGTGTTCGCAGGTGGAGGTAGATTGTGAATTTCCTGAACTTTTTCTGGATCAGGATGTACACCTTGAGCATTATAATAGTTTCCAAAGAACTTGATCCTTTCTTTTCTTATCTCACACTTCTCAATGTTGAAGATGAGACCATATCTTGCTGCAACTTTCATAAGTTGATGCAGGTTTTCATCATGCTCCTCTACAGTCTTTCCATAGACTGCTGTATCATCACTGATACCAAGTGTTCCAGGACACTGTTCAAGGATCAAATCCATCTTCTCCTGAAATATGTCCTGTGATATTCTTAGTCCGAAAGGAAGTTTAAGAAACCGGTACCTTCCAAAAGGTGTATTGAATGTTGTAAGTAAACTCGAAAAATCATCAAGGGTGATGCTCCAATATCCATGCCTAGCGTCTAGTTTGCTAAACACTGTTGCTTCACTAAACTTGTGTTTTATTTCTTCCAGGGTTGGTGTCTTGTGGTAAGTTCTCTTAATGGAACGGTTTAATTCACTAGGATCAAGACACACTCTCAACTTGCCATTTTCCTTCCTACTGAATGCAAGTGAGGACACCCAATCGGTAGGTTCAGTTACCTTAGCTATCACACCTAAAGACTCCATTCTTTCCAACTCAGATTTCAACTCATCCTTAAGTTGAATAGGATACTTTCTGGCTGGATGTATCACGGGTACAGCGTCTTCCTTCAGAGCTATATGACACTTTCCAGGAAATTGACCAATGCCTTCAAATCTGCCTGGGTATAGCTTCTGAAGGGTTTCCTTGTTAGGGATAGGTGCAGACTTCTCCAGTACCATTATAAGCACTCAGCTTGACATGTCTAGCCTTTGTAGTACCAGATTTAGGGAAACCTGATGCATCAAGAAATTCTGGAAACATTCTTCTGTATACACGAAGTGGTAGTAGATTTCCTTGTGAGCCTGTATCCACTTTAACCTTTATGGTGTGGCTGCTTTGACGGTTACACAGCTTAACATCTAGGTTTACTTTCAGTTCATCAACGTTGTCTTTGGCTACCTCATCAACAAAAGTAACAGATTCAAAATGGAAATGTTCAAACTCCTCACTCACATAGTCATTATCATGTTGTTTTTGTGAATGTTGGTATGACTTTTGCTTATGCTGAGACTGTCGTGACATATGTTCATCTTTCCTACGAGACTGTCGTCCACGACTCCTTGACCTAGACTGTTGACGGCGCCTTGACTGTCTTCGTCTATGCTGCAGTCTCTCTCTTCCCTGTTGACACATTTCCTGCCAATGCCCAATTTTACCACACATTTTGCATTTACTGTTGACTGCTGGACATACATTTCTAGATTTGAAAGAGTGTTTTGTTCCACAAAACCAGCAAACATGCTGAATCTCATCAGCTTTTAAAACCTTACCATCTAGATTCTTAAACTGTGACATATGGTTAACACTTGCTTCTTGTCTCCTACCAATATCAATGGCTTCCTGGAGGGTTAATTTTTCATCACGTCCTGGCAATGTTTTCTGTACCTCTGGGTATGGAACACCAGCAATGAGAACTTCAATCATTCTCTCCTCTAATGCATCATTGTCTTTAAACAAACACTTCATAGCTTTAGCTTTACATCTTGTGATAAAGTCATAAATAGTCTCATTGTCCTTCTGTTTGTAACGAAGAAACTCTAATCTATGAATTCTGAAATTTTCAGAAGGTTCAATTTGAGAAGAAAACTTTTGCCATAAATTCTCGGGATTGTATAAATTCTGATCACTTAGATTCCATGTGTTGAACATTCTAAGACCTTCCTTGCCAGACCATAAAATAAAGTAACTGTGTTGATCTTCTGGCTTGATACCTTTAATCTTAAACCAAAGTTCACTAGTTTGCTTAAATTCCTTAAAAGCTTGACCTCTGTCCAGGTGTGACCAGTCCATGCAAGGTGACGGTATTGACTCTGTCATGGTGATTTTACGATCGCTTCACAAGAAAACTTGGCGCTAAGGAGTGTGTACTCATTGAAAAGTTCATCAGTCACACTGAAGAAATATGCTACGGTATACTGTTCGATCCTGAAATGTCCTTATTGTATACCAAATACTGATAGTTACTGGTTACATGCACAAAGCTGGGAATAGTTACGGTCACAGTGACATCCATGATTCAGTCCACATGGCGCGTAGTCGAAACAGCACGCCGACTGTCAGATACGTAGATACAGTTAAAAACATGTCAAAAGGCATGAACAAGATCGAGTCGGTGATGCGTAGACTTCTTTGCACCACTGCCACCATGTAATAGTTTCAGTCCATGGCAGAACACAACAAGTCTTCAATTCAAACTTTTAATAAACGTGAGCAACATGGCGTCATCAACATGTGCGAGATGATAACCTACTCAAATCGTAACTCATCCAGAAACGAACCAGATATTAATCTATGATCTAAAACGAAATAGGATCATATCACAGCAGCCATTGTGCAGTCATTGCCTGGGTCAGTGTAGCGCCAGCGCAACATACCAGGGGAACCAGGCTGACAAGTCCCCTTCACTGTCAACTATCTATAATAAGTTGTGCAGACAACAGCATTCTATTGCCCAATGATTGGCATTTGCAGGAATTATTCCAATTCTATTTGTGTACACTTTCTTTTAAATTTGAGTATATTACATGTTAAAGAGGAATATGAAGATAGACAATATAAATCATCTCAAATGTAACTTCTCCTGTGTTAATTTCATCTCTGATAAGTAGCTCTTTCAAATTTAAATTGACAACTGGCATATAACAGATATGAGGCTGTTCCATTATCCGTATTGAAGCAGGTATGGGGAATGCCAAATAGGAAGTAGAACTTATGGGAAGGGTTCATAATAATTGTCCTGCTATTGTCTGCAATGCTACAAAAATTTGAAACTTATGTTTGGTTGCTTTTATAAGTTAACATGACTTGGTCTGGCAGACAGACGACTTTCTGCTGATTAGTGCATCAAAAATGTATAGAGGACTGCCACTGATCGTTGAGTTACCCTGTTAACTATTAAATCTGGCCTTAAAACAATATTTTCATAGAACTGATTTAATTGACAGACAAGCAATGATGCAAAAATATATATCCCAATCTGTTAATAACATGACAGAAAAACAAGTATACAAAACACATTTATTTCAGTTGTAAAGCCTGAAACAATAAATAGTTTATAGAAAAAACTGAATGATCTTGTGTAGTCTTTTTCCTCAGCACAATATGATCACTATAACTAAATGTCCTATACAACAGCTTATCACAGCAGTAAAATACAATTCAAAAGATATGTGTGTACATGTAATTATAAAGTATAAAAATACTGCCATGGCACTGTAGCTCACCTTGATATGTACTCAACAGTTTAAAGTTTAAAAAAAGACAGCCACAAACACAATTAATTCAAGTAATATCAAGTGGATAAAAGCATTAACAAAAATTTAAAAAGTAACTATTTTTTTTCACATTTTTTTTAATCTGCAAGAATTAATGTGTTACTGTTGTAGAATCCTGTTGCAATACACAGCAGTTACATCATCTCTACATAGCATTTCAACTTGGAGCCTTACAATTCTCCAAAGAGTTTCATCTAAATTCTATATTTATTTACATTTCTTTCTCGTTAACATAATTGATTACAGTGACAATGACTGCTAAATAAACATGTATCTGTAATGAAATATGGGTTTTTCAGATTAAAAACGATGTTTTATTGGTCTGTTTTCAGTCTTACAAATGGGTACAAATGGGTATCTCTCATACCTCTAGTCGCACGTTTAAAAGGAAGCCAGAAGCTGGAATGTAAACATTAAACTTGTTTCCGTCCGGTTACGCACGCACCTCCCTATGACATGTCACAAATCTCGAAGAATAAGCCATTAAGCAGGACTGGACTAGATTACTTCCCTGTGGGGATGGCTGGGTGGGAACGTACGACTGAAAACAGACCAATAAAACATCGTTTTTAATCTGAAAAACCCATGTTTTAGTCTGTTTTCAGTTGTACAAATGGGTAGAATTCGACGGAACACTGGAAGGAGGGTCGGGAATGTAATCAGGAAGTGACCTCGTTCACCCCTGTAGTGACAATAGAACATTCGACCAGATGCACGGACGAGACAAGTTGTTTATCACGAACGCACAGCATGGTTAATGCTCTTCGACACACAACTAATTATCGATGCGACAGGACAACTGCACGCGTCAGTTGAACTGCGATCGAAGTGTGGTCGACGTATAGTTTAGTTACAGAGCAACTCGCAGTATACAAGGTAACTAAAAAATACGAGCAGTACTATAAAGTATGGGAAGACGATGCATACACCGAATAACCATAATAAAAAAGCCAAAGTACTGCACGCAACAAAAACCATAAGAATGCGTACATTCACCAACAGTTTTTATTGTAACCTGTTATCTGGCACGAAGTGTCGAGCAAAAAGTCCAAAGTGAATAAACCACAAATTCACTGTCTTTTCTGGGAGACCTGTTGTGCCACTACGAGTGGACCAAACTGTGTGGTCATGTTGAAGCTATGGCTCGAACTTCGTGCAGATGAGAGCAGGTGGGAGGTGCGAGTCCTTGCGCCTCGTAAGCTCTGAGAATGACTGCTCTCAACCAAAAGGAGAGAGTATTACATGTAATCTCTTCCTTTGCATTGGTTGAGAGCAGTATGAACAGCCGTTGAAAATGTTGTCATCACTGTTCAGATCGCTGCAGGTAAATACGAAGCGCACGAACTGGGCACAGGGTGTGAACAGCGTGATCATGAGGGCCCATAATGGCAGACAAGGAAGGAATGTGGAACATTCTCGAATCTTGGCCAGGAAGTTGATTTTACGCTTTAAAAAAATCCAATCTGAGACCAAGATGGACGTTGCCATGGTTACGCTGATCGAACATAATCCGATCGACGTCAATGGCATGTAGTTCCGAATACTCCCGCTGCCGTAGCCAGCGAGAAAAGGAAAGCCGTTTTCTGAGACAATGTCGAACGCGACCTGATCGAGAGGCTCGTAAGTCTGACTAGACAGGTTGCGCAGAATGATATCGAGGTCCCAGGCCGGCAGTCGGAATTAATGTGACTGATCTTCAACCATGAATGCACGTAGAATTTTCTGCAACACCGGTATTTTAGTGAGCCTGTCGCCCGTAGGAGACGGCACCACGGTAGCCAAAGCTGCCAGATAAGTCGAGATCATCGACCCTTTCAGACGCCGAGATGACCGGAGTGATCGTTGTGAGGATGAAGAAGGAGGTCGTCTCGATCTGGCAACGGGAACGGTGGCTGATCAATGATCTGAAGATGTTCCGGGAACCACGTTCTGGCCGGCCAATAGGTCGCGACCAAAGCAGACTTGGTTGGCCGTTTGACGAACTGCCCCAGTATCGATGGTAACAGCACCGTTGGCGGAAACGCGTAAGCGTCTAGACCCTCCAACGATATCGCTAGAGCGTCGTGGTCCCATGCCGTGGTCCCATGCCCGTGGGTCTGGAACCAGCGACACGAATTGAGGAAGGCGGTTGTTGTACCAGGTTGCGAAGAGATCTACTTGGGGCATCCAGTCGATCTGTCAGCAGATGAAAAGACTGTCGGATGGATCATCCACTCCATGGGAGACTGCCTCAATGGTCTCGACACGGCGTCGGCTAGTTGTCCGAGCCAACCAGTCCTTGTTTTAGCCCCTTAATGCTGAGCGCCAGACAGGGTAACAACAAGTACCATCTGTTAACGTCTTTTGGTATGACGCGGCCGGGGATCGAACCCCGGACCTTCCACTCTCCGGGCGGACGCTCTACCACTAGGCCACGGAGGCGGTCCCAGAAGGGCTGCCGACTGAGTCGTTCCCTGTTTGTTGATGCAGTGGACGACTGTGGAGTTGTCCGACTGTATCATCAGCCGTTTCCGACGGAGTCAAAGTTTCCAGAACACGACCGCCCGAAACACTGCTTCCATCTCGAGGCAGTTGATGTGGAGGACCTTTACTTCTGGCGACCACAGCCTGGCCGCTTGGTCGCCCCCGAAATGCGCTCCCCAGCCTTCCAATGACGCGTCTACGAATAGGTGTAGTATGAACGGAGGTTCGCTCATAAAGACGCCGTCGCAAACGTTCGACGGCTGGAGCCACCACTCCAGATGACAACGTAGCTGCGCCGGAAGTGGAACCAGGAGGTTGGGAAACTCCAGGTGGGGGTACAGCAATCTCTGCAGCGGACGAAGTTGAAGACGACCTCGGCGAATCAGGTCTTGAGCCGATGTCAACAGACCGAGGACTTCCTGCCACGTGTGCACCGACGCCGGGGCATGTAGAAGTCTCGGAACGCTGCTGACAATCATGTCCCAACGGTCTTGAGGTACCTTGACCAGATTGACTCCCGTCTGGAAGTGTATCCTGATGTACTGTAGATCCCGAGTTGGTACCAAGTCCGACTTTTGAAGGTTGACGATCCACCCGAGGTACAGTAGTAGATTCAGGGTGGTCGTTAACTCTCCTTGAAGGGCTTCTGTGAACTGGTGAGCATGGAGCCCGTCGTCTAGGTAGAAGGTGACCCAGATCGCCTGCCGATGGAGCCATTCTACGACCGTCTTCATGATCCGTGTGATGAAGTCTCCCCCCTACCGGTAGCTCTTCTAAAGGTAGTAGACTCCAAAGATGGTGACGGCGGGGGAAGGGACCTCACTACCTCCCCCGCTGGCTCGCTGTCGACAGCATAGCAAGCGGTTGTAGCTGGTGATGAACAGCAGTGTCCATGGATTCCAAATGCCTGTCTACTACAAGAATCTTGGAGGGCGCTGGTTTCAAGTCCCTACTCATGGTTTCACGAAAACGGCATGCCATAGATCAGGTAACGCGATCGAACAAGTGGTTTGCTGAAACTCTGCCCCGGCGGAGCAGAGGCAAAGTTCTGGTCCATATTGTGAGCCATGGCTTTGAAGACATCGGGAGGAGAATACTGAAGAGACTGCGGCGTATCTCCGACCTTCAAGCCAGCACACGTCGGTTTGTCATCATCTTTTGATAACTCAGGCAAAAAAGTGAGATAGCCAAGCCATAGCCAGGCTGTCGTCACAATCCATCGTCGACGTCGATTGTGTAGACGTAGATGAAGGTACTGGTGTACTGGTTGATGGTCCATGGACCTCCGACGTAGTCGAATCCTTCTTGGTCGACGCCGTCGAGGCGAGTACCGCCGTCGTGATCTGGGCTATCCAAGCCGGGTCGATATGAAAGTAAGACGAGGATGTCGATCGGTCATTATCTCTACGACGCTGTCATCACAATCAATCGTCGACGTCGATTGTGTAGGCGTAGTGGTCGAACCTTCTCGGTCGACGCCGTCAAGGCGAGTACCGCCGCCGTGATCTTGCCTTTCAAAGCCGGGTCGATATGAAAGTGAGACGAGGGTGACGATCTATCATTATCTCTACGACACTGATCTCCCAAAAACTCACTTCGAGAGCGTCGCACGTCCCCTTTGGGACGGGGGCTACGATCTCTAACTGTAGAAGTACTACGATCCCCATCGTAGTTATTGTCCGAATTGAACTCCCGACAACCTCGAAGGCGACGAACGTCCTCGTGTCGTTTACTGTCTCTCAACGAGGCACTCAACCTGTCGTCCCGGGGCGGGAAAGACTTGTAGAGTGGGATCTGTGTTCACTGTCGACCTGCACGACGTCCCTATAGTCGTTGGTAGGATGAGAGACGGACCGACTGGGGACCGTAGTCCCCTCATGGTCCTCGTCACGAGCCGGTCCCGTCGTAACGGGGGTGGCTGAGTGACGCTCTCGATCAACCGATTGACAAAGATCAGTCGTGCGGGTAGTATCATCAGCAGGCGAACGGTCTCGTGTCTTGTCGAAAACATAAGTTGACTGGGGCGGGTCTTTATCAACTGATTTCTTGGGTGTGGCCGACGCGCCACCCCCAGGGCCAGATGTAGAGGCTGCAGAGTCCAGGGATCCACCCGAAGACCTACTCTGCTTGTAGCGCTGGTCAGTAGCCCGCTTCGCCAACGCACGAAGATACCAATTAAAGTTTATTAAAGTGCTCACATTCTTTACAACGTTCATCCCACGAACACGTTGAAAATCCGTCCTTAATTATGCAGGAAGGACAATACTTGTGAGGATCTCCTTTAGACAGTATACTTTGACACGAGGCAGAAAAGCCCGACATGTTGCCACGTGTATAATCAAGTCAAACAGTAAAACACGTGTTGAATACAAACAATGGATTACCAAGGATTACATTCCAGGAGTCTACAGGTAAGACATATTATTATTACTGTATTAGAACAACAACTGTAGACACACGATAAGTACTAGTAGAATACAAACTAGCAGTCTATCGCGAAAGCCTTTCTCGAGCGACCAGCTCAGAGGCGCGCTGAGAGATTTGTGACATGTCATAGGGAGGTGCGTGCGCAACCGGACAGAAACAAGTTTAATGTTTACATTCCAGCTTCTGGCTTCCTTTTAAATGTGCGACTAGAGGTATGAGAGATACCCATTTGTACCCATTTGTATGACTGAAAACAGACAAAAACATATGTATATCTACACAATTATACAAAGACATCAAATACAATTATTGTATTCAATACTGTGACTGAAATGCAGTTATCTATTGAAGTAAAGAGAGTGAGTGAGTTTGGTTTATTGCTGCTTTGATCAGAATTCCAGTTATATAATGTTGTGTCAGCTTTATGTGGGAAGAAAGCTCGAAGTGATGCAGGTCTCAGAATGTTGCCACTTTGGTGAAACCCATGAGCACAGGTATGGGTATGGTGATTGCTGACAAACTAGAAACATAATCAAGGTGAACCGGTATTCATTCTCACAATCATTGGTTCCTGGCAAGCCCAAGGGACACAACTCTGCATAGCGATTTGCGGTGCTTTACATGACTGGGCCATTAATGCCCCCGAAATAAAAAGAAAAGAGAATAACATCATCCATTTGTGTGGGAATTTGAAAAATCATCATTTTAGGATATGGAAACATAAAAAAGGCAACCCCCCTTCTCACCTATTTCAGTATTGTACTTCTTAAATACTTTTTGTCAATATTCACAAGTTTCTGACCAACTTAATGTGCTGAAAAAGACCTTCACATTTCGCATACCATCATGTAGCTGTTGTATGAAATGCACACACATAGCGTAATCAGGGATAAAATGACATACATGTGGATATGTATACAATTAGAATACTTTAAATACTGATTGCCAAACATTAACAATGCAACCTGGAATGAATGCTGATCCCGGCGCCCTGCTCAGGACAGCCATCAAGTGGTTTACTACTACAATATCAGCAGTCATGGTCATCGCAGATATATAAATGAGTTTCAGAACATGATCATTGATATATTGTTCAGATGAGAAGATAAACTGCCTTTACACCCTTGTGAATGTTACCGATAACGTGAAGGCTGGATGGGTTAACTGTCTACAAATGTTACAGTAAATACAGGAAAGAGTATGTCAACAAACCCATACTGAAGTATGCAAATTAGTACTGTTATTATATGATCTTGTTATTTTTAAACTCTATTTTATTAACTGTATATTACATTCAATATTGTTTACATTAATTTCTGCGATATTGTGTGGGAACAGATGTATACTGCTATCAACACCTTGAAATGAACCATAGCTGTCAGTGAGTGAGTGAGTGAGAGTGAGTGAGTATGGTTTTACGCCGCTTTTAGCAATATTCCAGCAATATTACGGCGAAGGACACCAGATATGGGCTCCACACATTGTACCCATGTCGGGAATCGAACCCGGGTCTTCGGCATGACAAGCAAATGCTTTAACTACTAGGCTACCCGACCGCCCCCATGGCTGTCAGAAAATGGAGATATATATTTATATTTGGGTAGCTTACATCTGCCTCACAAAATGGTGTCTGTTCCAGAGTGAAATTAACTATTCAAATAGTTTTATTACAACAAATATAAACACATTTTATGATTTCGTTAGGTACAGATGACCACATATAGTTATTTCATAACTTCCAATATATTAAACCCTTACAACTAAATTTCTGAAAGGACAAATGCTTTCAGAAACCTGTTTATCAATATGCATGGACAATGGTATTGTTAACCATTATCTTAAGGTCATCAAATAACAATGTTTTTATGACACTTTAAGACTTTCAAAATATCTTGTCAGTGAAATCTTCTTTTTGTAAAAAAATATGTATATCACTAGAGAGTCAAAAACTTCAAAATGGAAAACTTCCCTCTCAGGTAATTTAGTGAACCTTGTGCAATATAAACGTTTGGGCAAAAAAAATATACACTTGAAAACAAATCACTATTCTTCATTTTATTTAGTGACTTTGGAAATATTTACCAGAACCTCTGGTAGCAATATGATCCCTATGACTATAACTACCACTCCAATGATCACCCACATCATGCAACTTGTTAACGTTACAAGGCACACTTTACTTTTGCACTACTGTCATTCTTTTTCATTTAACAGTGAAATACAGAAACAATATCTGGAATATAAGGGACTGCTCATTTACAACAGGCAGTGGGATTGGTCATAAGACTGTGTCATATTTTGCTAGAAAGTCCCTAAAAGAAATAAAACTTACATTTATTTGTGCTGTCATTTTGTAATCATCTCCCGTCCTAAAAAATGATTTTGTATCACATACTTGTAGTGCAAAAGTTATGTATGTTGTTTACCTTTGAATTGTTTCTGTTTTGAATTCAGACTTTGATGGCATGATCAATTTAATGTGAAACATGTGAAAGCAGAAATATATGACTATTGGTAGATATGTCACTAAATTTGTTAATGTACATAGTAACAAACTCTTGACATATGTGGCATAAATGTCTTTAAGGATGAAGTGATATTCTTAACAGAAACAGCAGTGGACAATAGCTAGGTGATGTGAAGCAGTTGATGGATGTTGGTAAGACAACCATCTTCCATGCTGAACATGAACTGAGATTGATCTGTCTATTTCTTTGTCCCTGTTGTTTCGCTTTCATTTGCATCAACATCGTTGTCTGTGCCTGAAACATACACAACATTCGGTGAGAATTACTGGCAGAGCCATGCATGACTCTGATTACACTATCTATTCAAAATTGACCACAAGGGTAAAATTTAATATTAGAATCAGACCAGTAGTAATCTATTACACCAGTAGTCCAAAAATTCTACAATGACGGTATACATATTATGCATGTCCATCTTATCTATTTTTTTATTCAAACATGCATAAAGCATACTGGCTATTCAACAAATTGTTGCTAAGGGCTGACACAATACACTTGTTAAACTTGTTAAACTTGACACACTTAACGCTGACAGTATTATCCAGGCTACCAGCTACTAGGTCATGCCATTTCTGATCTTATCAACACACTGTCAACACCCCTTGTGTTCACAAGCGCTGTCCCAGGAAATACAGGTTTTCATTGCCCTCAGATGTTTGAGGCTTTCTCAGAACGAGTGTATTTACATGGTGTATCCTTGTCTGGCGAGGCCCATGTATTCAACAGGACAACAAAGCTATTAACCAGTTCAATCTAAGACACTATTTTACCAAATAGTCACCAAGGAATTGTTTTATGGCCCTGGTACTTGGTTGCATAGATGGCGCACTTATACCTATAATTCAACCAACTGAAACTAAAAAAGTGGTTTACATATTCTGTTAATAGTCATTCTATCAGTCTGTGATGCAGAATTGAGGTACATAACACTACACAACAGTTAACAAGAACATCCAGCAACATGAAAACAATAGTTATCATTGTTAATAATTCTAAGAATACAACCTCTATTACATCAATGCCATAAATCCTGTACTTTGGCTGCAATCACACTAAAACTACACTTTCAGATTTTCAACAGAAGTCCTCTTCACTGTCAACTACACATCACTACAAATCCTCACTTCTTTCCAAACATCAATCACTAAAGACAGATGATTGGGGAGGTGGGAAGAAGTAAGTCTGATGTAATATTCTTTGAATTTTTTACAATGATAACTATTGTTTTGATAATTTTAGAAAATCCTCTACCTCTATTACATCAGAGTATATATACTAGAGGGAACAGGTTCTGCCCATAGAACACTCTCTTGTTTTGTTGGCAGTAATCTAGTAGAATCATATTCTAACATCTTCAGACTGCTTCGGAGTTCTCTTTCTGTACTTCACCTCCACAGGACTTGAAAATCTTGCAGAAGAATAATCAGACAATACATGATACCTTCACTTTGAACTACCATTATATTGCTTATGTTCTTGTTAATGATTGTCCGTAGAACCTTCTAAGACCTTAAAATCTGGTTAATTTAGGTTCTGACATCACTTCTGGTCCCAGTTTTACTGGGTGTGACATCACTTCCAGTCTTATGACTTCATTTCGTTTCTAGATGTTATTTCTGGTATCCAAAAAGTCATTATGACATCATCAATGATGTCACTTCCGGCATTGTTTATGTCATTAATGACTCCACTTCTGGTCTTGACATCACTTCTGGTCCCAATTCTTCTGCTGGTGACGTCACTTCCGATCATTCTGTGATACATGTAGACAATAACATGTGTTCTTCTATAGCTGATGAATAAAGGTGTACTCACCTTCAGTAGCTGCTGGTAAAATCCTCGAACCCCCTCCTGCATGAGCAGCTATGACAGGTTCCAGCGAGCATATACCCTGAAGATCTGGCTGTACGTCTCGTAAGTAAAAGTGAGTTAAGGTGTTGTAAGAACACAACTGGCATCCTGCAACAACCTGTTCAACGGAAACAGTGGCCAGAGCCCTGATCTCAAGTACTGAACAGGAGTCAAGAATAGGAGGGGCATTCTGAGCTCAGCGACAGCTTGAAGCTATGGTGGCCAGCTATTGTGGCTTTAGTAAAGTCCTGGTCAGAGTGGGTCTTAAGGTATAAAGAGTCTTTTCCGACGAGCAGCCAGGTAGAATTTGAGCACAGATAGGACATAGTAAGCGATCTGGATGATCTACCTCAGGTCCAAGTGCAGGAATAGTGTAATGGCCTAAAGGTCCCATGTCCAGTGGACTGCTTTTTGGCTACAAAGTCAGGCAGAGTATGTAATGTGATTGATTTCCAGTCCATCTCATGAATAAGGCTCAGTATTCCAGGGCCTGTAATTCTGAACCCCTAGCAGTATTCTGTCATGGCTAACAGAAAAGTTGCTTTCTTTGCCTTCTGAAGCAAGTGGCATTAGTGAGGGGCTCATGAGGGTCAGTCAGAAGAGCTGACAGAACTACAGATACATTCCATTTTAGAAATATCCTGGGAGTGCGAACATCTTCCAGAAGAAAAGATTGCATGGGCCTATTTAAAATGTGGTGGTTGCTAATGATCAATCTGTCATGTTGAAGAACACGAGTGATATCCCTTGATCGTACCATGACGGAATTTATTATCCTGTCTAAGATGGTGTAGAAAATCAGTAACCATGCTTCTCCACTGGACAAACTTGTCAAGTCTTAAGAAGGGAGGAAGATGGTCTCAATGACAAGCAACAGCTGAGGAGGCAGATTTAGAAAAATTTAGATTAAGACTGTGAAGACTGTTGTACTGTAAGTCTGACCTGGGTTGTCAAAAAAGATCTCTGCAAAATGGTAATGGGAGGGGATCTTCCATTAGAAGAGACAAAAATCGGGGAAACCAGAGTCAACTGGGCCAGATTGTATCATCATTCTGATTGCACCAATCTGTTATTTCTATTTTTCAGATCACTTTGTCCAGAAGAACTCAGGGGAGAAAGAAAAAGGCAAAGAGGCAGGTCCAATCAATTGACAGGGCATCTAGATGGATGGGACCAGGCTGACGTAAGTGCGAAGCTGATGATTCAGGCAAATTGCAAACAAATCAAAATGTGGATTGTCCCACAGCACTATGATCTAATGGAAGACATCGGGATGGGGGGTCCATTCTGTGGACACAATCCTGCCTGGAAGAGACTGTTGGCTAGGATGTTAAACTTCAGAAGAATATGACTCCCTTCCATCTGGCAATTGCAAGTCTGCCAAGGCACATAGCTGAGAAGATTTCATCATCAGGAAATTGGTTCACTCCTGTTTCTGGATATACGCCACCACTGTGGTGTTGTCTGTGGCTGCTAGAACTGATGAGTTGTGGATTAGATCCTTCCAGGACAAAAGAGCATAAAATGTGGTTTTCATCAATTGATGTGGAGGGACTGTTCCACTGAGGTCCATGATCCCAGTATCCGGAAGTCGTCCATCTTGGCTCCCTATCCTGAGTTTGAGGCGTCCGTGATGAGCTGGTGGTGATTAAAGTGGCACTAATCTCTGGCTTCTTCTCGGCTGTCTGACACTGGCCGCTAGGGCTCACTAGCTGCCGTGAGATGATTTGCTCGCTAACCCAACTGAGCGTGACAAGAGCCTGGGCTACCATCTACTAAATAAACTTGGAGGCAATATTTGTTTTATGCATTTTTGAACACTGATTGGTTACCCGTGATCTATGAAGATTTCAACAAAGGGTGCACGTCAATTAATTTCTTCAGCCTAAACAAACAGACAAAAAGAACGTCAGAGCTCATCGGATGTCGTTTTTTGGAAATACCCCTGATGGTTATAGTTTAATAATAAAAAAAGTATCCTTGCAGTGAAAGCATTTTAGTAGTATAGGTAATAGGGGTTCTGCCGCAACTCCACTGGAGCCAGATTTATATACCTATACCACCACTACAGGGGGAATTATTTATGCCAAAACGCTGATGCGATTCAACGATAGTCATGAGTTTAAGTTAAATTGGCTCTAGCTCACCACTACCTGGAGCCAATCAATGATACCATAGAGGGAATTTTTAGTACAAAAACCATGATGAGACTAAACTAAATTGTAATGAAAATATTCTCTATTATATTTATATTCAACATTTTTACTAAGTTCTTCGTTCATTTTACTAGGAGACCAGACAATATATTCTTCTTGGTAATTGGTAAGAAACAATTGATGACCGTATTTGGTTGGTTTGACATCACTGATATAATATATACCTTGTGGTAATTCTCTCCATTTGATAATTTTGTCCTTGAGCATAAATTTCATTATTATATACTTATGTAAGCATTGGTTTAAATGTGATCTAATGATAGGAAGCAATCTATTTTTAATCTCCAACCAGTTCTTTGGTTTTGGCACGGAATAATTGACGCGCTTGTTGTCTCCCCTGTTCTATGAACTTTTTTTTCTCGTCTTCGCTAATACCACTGGTCTTACGAGAATTGGATCGAATCTCCTGCTTCATTACGTTGTATTTGGTGAGTTCCGACAGCACTAAACGAAACTCCTCCTCGGATATCTTACAATCAGCCATTGCTGTCGAAATATGATCCTCAATGCTGTTCAACTTTGCTTCGGCGAGTATCCTAATATTATCGTGTTTTAATGCTTTCTTTTCCAACCTACGAGAAATGAATTTTATCGCTATTCCTGCCAGTCCTGAGACTCTGGCGGCTATTTCCATGCCAAGTACGATAGGCGCGGCGATTATAGTTGATAATAAACCAACACCGGCTACACCGAGTCCCTTGCCAGCTGTTACAAGCGCGGTGTCAACTCTGTCGAGAGCATTCACAGCTCTGCGATACTTTTTATACAATCCAAGTCTAAACTCCCTCTCCTTTTCTATTCGATGTTTTATGTCGCTTATTTGGTGTAATCTAAATCCATCAACAGTATCCATCTTTTCAGATGCCTCATTGAGCACCGGATATAAACTCATAGTGTATATTACGGTCATACAATAGTCTTTAATTGGTCTTGCTTCAATGTTTTGAGAGTATACATCAACCTTATCAAATGAATATTATACGGCAGGAATATCTTAGTAAGAGAAATACTACCACTTTTAATAATTTGGACCCCCTCAAGGGTTGCAAAGGGTGATGCTCCAATATGAATAATACTGCAACATTGACGTTGGTGTTTCTTTAGCCATTTAATCGATAGACCTGGTAATATTTCGAAGGCATCTTCTGGTGCATCTCCAAACAAGAC